ATAGTTGACTAAATCGATGACTAGCCGAATATTATTGGAGATATGCTGACCACTTATGAATCCAAATTGGGAGTCATGAATTATTTCATCAAGACCAGATTTTAAACGCTTTGCCAATATGGAGGCAAACATTTTATAGTCATTGTTAAGGAGTGTGATGGGTCTCCAATTATCAATAAGTAAGGGGTCTTTCTTAGTTTTGAGGATCAAGGTGATAAGTCCTTGTCTCAAAGATGGTGGTAATTCTCCCTTGCTAACAGCTTCATTATAGACAGCCAATAAAAATTTAGCAATTTGATTTGCAAACACTTTATAAAATTCAGCAGAAAGTCCATCATTACCTGGTGATTTGTTGTTTTTTTTTAAAATTTTTTTATGCCTGAAGGAATTTTCTCTAAGGTTAGCTTTTTGGAGCATTCTCTACTAAAATTAGGGCTTGCTAAAATAACTTCTAATCCATTTCAGAACCATTCCCCTAATCCCATATCTTTCTAATTTATCAATTAATATTTCATGATTAATTGTATCAAATGCTTTTTTTAGGTCAATAAATATTCCCAACGTGTGTTTCACTAGCACTAGTAATATCCTCCATCAGTTCAATTATGTCCAGCGATGTCGATCGATTCGATCTAAAACCATATTGACTTTCAGAGAGGATTTTATGTTTGTCTATAAATATATCCATTCTGTTATTAAAAAGTTTTTCTAGAATTTTTGAGATATAGATAAGATATATATAGATATAGATATATTGCATATATAGTTACCCAAACCGCTATGAATTATTCAAGCATTTCCTGTGTACCCCAGCCTCATCTGTGCCATATGAACGGATTTTTTCCAAGGCTGGGGAAATAGTCTGTAAAAGGAGAAACCGCTTGTGTCTGAAAACTCAATAAAAAGTCAAACTGTTACACAAGCACACCCTATTTACCCACATACCCATGAACCTCAAAACATAATATAATCTGTATTTGCACCAGTGCCATGTGAAAATGACATCTGTCTGAATTTGTAGAGCACATCTCATGAATGTAGCAGCACCATTTAAATGAGAACGTCACTTTCCACCCGTTTAGGAGTCGCCACACTGACGACTCGCACGTTGACATTTAGCACGTGTTCGACACCGGATGCCCTTCCTGATGCAACCCTGATAGCGCTGCGCCTTAACCACTAGCCTACCAGGGACAACACAAAATATAAGTGAAGAGTATATAGCAGTGACGTGCGGTCAGGGGAGGCAGGTGAGGCAGAGCCTCCCCTGTCAATCTTGGAAAGAAAAAAAATTTAACCATAAAATATAATAGATAGTAAGTTAGAGAGAAATAGATAAAGTAGTTACATAGTTAAATAACACTAGATATAGTTACATAGATAGTCCTAAATAACATTAGATATGGATAAGATATAGATATATTACATAGATATAGATATATTGCATATATAGTTACCCAAACCGCTATGAATTATTCAAGCATTTCCTGTGTACCCCAGCCTCATCTGTGCCATATGAACGGATTTTTTCCAAGGCTGGGGAAATAGTCTGTAAAAGGAGAAACCGCTTGTGTCTGAAAACTCAATAAAAAGTCAAACTGTTACACAAGCACACCCTATTTACCCACATACCCATGAACCTCAAAACATAATATAATCTGTATTTGCACCAGTGCCATGTGAAAATGACATCTGTCTGAATTTGTAGAGCACATCTCATGAATGTAGCAGCACCATTTAAATGAGAACGTCACTTTCCACCCGTTTAGGAGTCGCCACACTGACGACTCGCACGTTGACATTTAGCACGTGTTCGACACCGGATGCCCTTCCTGATGCAACCCTGATAGCGCTGCGCCTTAACCACTAGCCTACCAGGGACAACACAAAATATAAGTGAAGAGTATATAGCAGTGACGTGCGGTCAGGGGAGGCAGGTGAGGCAGAGCCTCCCCTGTCAATCTTGGAAAGAAAAAAAATTTAACCATAAAATATAATAAATGTTAATATTTGTCGGCTGGTGTGTGTTGTGGGTGGTTTCGAAGGGTTTCGAAAATCCGAAGGATTTTTTTTCAATAAAGAATAGCAGAATTTCCATATGTCCCGTTCAAATACAGGGAGGAGATGCGCGATGAGGCAGCATCTCGGTGCTCATCTGTGCCTCTCGGTGGATCGTGTAATCCTCACAAACTGTATGCGATGCGAATAGTGTGTCGCTGTCTCTCTATATATCGCAAATAAAATGCTTTCAAACACTCTGATTATATGCTCTGCCTTGCCATAATCTGGATAATGTATAAAATGTAGTTCTGTAACGTGTTTAGGCTCGCAGATTAACCATAAAACCCAGTAAAAAAGTTACTCGGTGAGGCAAACAGTACGCCTGCCTCAAGGCAGAGGGCGCTAGTGAGCCCACAGATTCTTGCGCTACCTACAATCTTCTTCGTGCTTGTTTATATTTCCTTTACAATCCGCCTTATCAAAATGGAAGATTACATTT